AGGAATAGAAATAGACTTAAACGATAGTGGAAAGAATCATCAAACTGAATGAGTAGATGGAAGGGGAAATAAATAATGTTATTCATTAGGAAATAGTTTTCTATGTTTTAAATTATTCACAGAAAGAGAGAGAAAGGAGTAGGGGAGGTAGGGGGAGACAATATGATTGCCTTTGGCATTACTTGAGTTTCATTTAGGCAATAGAATAGATTTCTATAAGTTGTTGACAATTGAAGCATTTCTTTTTTATATAATAAAACAAACATTTTAGAGAACAGAAGTTATCTATTTTGAGAGATAATACGATGGATTCCGGTTCAATGGCTTAGAGGTTAAGCGTTGGAGTGTGAGACTGATAGGTCTTGGGTTCAAATCCTGTGAGGTGGGATCTTGGAATATATCAAAAGCACGAGTTGACCATCCAGTGCTTCCAGGTTTTCCATAGTGGTCTAGCTTCAAATGACCCATAATCTCAACGAATAAAATTATTATAATATCCAGAAAACTCCTTCTGATACTAATTAAGATATACTCACTAGTGACTGACTTCGAGAGGAATTTTCTGAAGTTCTAATGAGAAGCAGTGACCAGTGGAGTTCAAGCGGATCTGTTATGAGACAGTAACTCACTAAAGACAACAATGAATGGTCATACAATTGCGTGGATTGGTTTAAATTAGACATTAACACCATTGAATGCCAACCGGCTCAGTGGTCTAGTGGTTAGGCGCTCTCGCGCTAGACTGGTATGTCCTAGGTTGGAATTTCGTGAGGTGGTATCGTGAATACGCACTTCTGAGCAGTCTCACAATAGGACGATTTGGGCGTTCAGTGCTTCCAGGTTTTGTATGGTTGTCTAGCTTCAATTGATTCATGATCTCAACTATTAAAATTAAATTTTCGTCCATCACAAATATTTATATGGAATATTTGTAAAATGAAATGAATATTATTCTGTAATAATGTGAATTATCTGATCTGTAAGAACCCTAAAATAAAAGGGACTGTTATACAACTATCATATCTCCATCCCGAAGTTCATTTATAATCTTTATTTACTTTCCTTTATATCTAAATAATTGTGATGTTCATCTTAATGGTTATATCATTTTGTTACTGGTTTTATGTTCTACTATAATTATATGTGATAGCCTAAATAAACACATCAAATTTAAGATTCTATTCGACTTTCATTATGGCAGTTCATCTCTGAAGTAATTATAAACTGTACATATTCAAGAGTAATGGTATTTAAATATTACAAATTAATCATAGATGTCATCAATTTCAAGTGATCTGAAGTTTTTGAAAACTTATCCAAGCGTTTCATCTAGATACCTGGATATATAAGATTCTTACCTATTTATATCATTCTGAAATGATATTAGAGATCAGAATGGGTTTTGTGGAGAGTTTTAGAAATTTCACAGGTTGAAATCATGAGTCAGTTGAAGCTAGACCACCATTGAAAACCTGGAAGCACTGGACGGCCGTTTCGTCATGGTATGGGACTCCTCAGCAGTGCGCATACACAATCTCGCACGCGCGAAGCGAGTAGGTCTTGGGTTCGAGCCCCGCGTGGTGCGGGATTGTGGATGCGCACTGCTAAGGAGTCCCATACCAGGACGAAACGGCCGTCCAGTGCTTCCAGGTTTTCAATGGTGGTCTAGCTTCAACTGACTCATGATTTCAACCTGTGATATTAGAGATATTAAGTATTTTGAAATGATCCATAATGTTTGTCTTTCAGATGAATGTTTTTACTTGGTAGTATGTATACTAGATTGAATAGTTAGATAGCGAAGCTCAGATTATCATTCTGCACAATATCATCAACATTACTTTAATTAAAATTGACGGTACTAGATCAGTCAGTCAGTCAGTCAGCAACAACGTGGGATCAGGCACATATATGTATCGGTCCAAGTTGCCATACCTCATTAACACAACAAGATGAACATAGGATTCAGAGTAGTAGTTAATTCAGAGGCGGTAATATATAAAAGAAAGATTGCATATAAGGACATAGTACAGGAAGAAAGAATTAGTTCGTAGAAAGAAAGACACGAAGCGATTTTAATCTCATAGTTTAAGGGAAGACAGAGTGTGTATACACCTAAGCCATTGTGATTGATTCTGAGCCATGTCACCTAGAGTCTCCAACGATTGGTTACGATAGTCATGCGGACCCCAACCAAGTAGTCTGCATCTACCAACATGGCTCAGACTAGAAGTTCGTGTCTTCAAGCACTGGTGCCATGACGGTACTAGATAATTTTTAGGAACATACTATTCAATTTAATTTGGAATTAATACGCTTGTACTCTCGCCCACTAATTCCGCTTGTACTCCTTTTGGCACGATCTTGGTATTCGTTCGATACCACGAGGTCGCCAACGAAATAAATCTGGTTACGCTCCATCTTCGCCTTCTGGTTTCTTTGGTACGCGCTTTCTTGTAGTGGTGTTCATAGTCAATCGCGACTCGACTCCACGCTACACTCTCACCGAAAATAGTCGTTATTTATTATTTAACTTTGAAGATATCCTATATATGACTAAATTTAATAACTATTAAATAACATTATTATTATAAATAATCTTTTATAATTTATGGCTTTCAACTAAGAACTTCAAACAATTGAAATACTTTTGAAAGGCTAATATTTGAATGAAGAATATTCTCTTCGATATATTCTCTTCCGGTTCTACGATTCATATATCCAAATTAATAATCCGAAAGATGGCTGAAGCAGTAGCCATCAAGATGAAGAAACCGGAGCTATATTTACAGAAGAAATATCTTCAATCGCTTCTCCCTCCTTAACCAAACTCAAGGCCAATTAATCAATAGTAATCTTAGTTATTGAATGACCTAATTTAACTATTATACTTACGACCTTTCGTAATCAAATGTAATTATCTTTGTTATCTGAAGATGAAGATATCATTATTTTCAGAATGAGTTTTGTGGAGATTTTAGTAAATTTCACAGGTTGAAATCATGAGTCAGCTGAAGCAACTGCTCACTAGTGACTGACTTCAGGAGAACCTCCTGGAGTTCTAGTGAGAAGCCGTCACCAGTGGAGTTCAACCAGGTCTGTTGTGAGATATCAGCTCACTGAAGACATTGGTGTTCGATGGCGCAACTTCGTGGATTGGTTGAAGTTAGACATTAACACGGTTGGATGCCGGCTCAGTGGTCTAATGGTTAAGTGTTCGCTTGCAAGAGTGAAGGCCCTGTGTTCGAATTCCGTGAGCGGCATCGTGGATACACATTACTGAGGAGTCCCAAAATAGGAAGAAACGACCTTCCAATACTTCAATGGTTAATCTAACATCAATCAGTTCATGATCTCAATCAAAAGCAAACAAAACAAAACAAAACACAGAACAATAAAACACTTTAACTTTTATTCACCATATTTCAATAAAATCTTCTGTACAAAGGAACAAAAAAAACTTCTAAATTAATCATCATTTGTTTGTATAATCATTTAGCATTTGGTTCTCATTAATCCTATTTGTTTCTATACAAATAACACAATAAGTAAATAAATAAATAAATAAAATAGTAGCGAAGACAACGAATAGATAAGTTGGGAAAAATAAATAATTTTTACATATTGAATAATTGCATGTATATATATATATGTGTGTGTGTTTGTGTGTAGTGTGTGTGTGTGTGTGTAAGAGTGTATGGTTTTGTGTGTGTGTGAAGTTGTTAGCAAATAACAGAAGTAAACAGTTTTAATTAATGATGGTCATTCACTGGGTAAGTATAACAAGAACAAATATCATCCTCCTCATCATCATCATCATCGTCGTCGTCGTCATCATCATTGAAAGAAGCAATTGAAATAGAAAACATTAGAATAAACACAAAAGATAAATCTAAGAACGTTAAACAGAGGAAATAAGATCATTCTATTTCTTTTCTCCCTCTCTTTATTTATTAAAAGAGTAATTGGATTGTGTTAGTTTTCTTATTTAGAATAGAACACTGTAATGATACAAACAACTGTTCTATTGAAAACATAATCATTTGTATATAATATACAAATCAGGCTGAATTGAAATATAAAAGGACAAACAATAAATAAATATAGACATTGTGAAGTGAATGCACAAACAATGAGTGTGTGTGTGTGAGTGAGAGAGAGTGTGTGTTATTGTTTTATTGAAATCCATCATTATCCCTATTTCATTAATATTTTATTTGTTCATAAAGCCAAATCTGTACATGGGAATTGACAAAAAGAAAGATGAAAGTAAACTATGGTTTATAAAGTAGCTATTCTTATTATATATTGGAAACAAAATCAAAACATTTTCATACATAGAACAGTAATGATGATGATTACATAATCATTTCAGTGTAATACATCTACTTAAAACGAATTCAGTTTCTTGGTAACCTACTAAAGAGAAGTATTTATTATGAAATGATAAATAAATATAATATTATGATAGTCATAGAATATCTCTATCATTATTTATATCCTTAACTTTTTTTGAAAAAAATCGATTCACAATTACGTAATATTTAAAGAATACTGTGTAACTATGAGCTCAATTTTAGAGAAGGAGGGAGGGAAAAATATCCTATGCCAAAAAAATAAATAAATCAATAAACACACAACAATCAATAAAATGATTTCGTAAGTAAATAAATGAAAAGATTGAAAAATTGCTCATATTTATACAAAGATAAGTTTATACATTGTGAATGAAATGATAAACTTGCCAAATAGACACCTGACAACTAACTGAGAAATTATATAATAGATTTTCAACTAGTCAAGCAAATAATAATAATAACTAATAGGTATTACAATAATAATGAAATTGGAATGATGATTACATCACTAATTAATGAAATTGTCATTCTGTACCAATGTGTTTATGTGTATGTAAATGTGTGTGTGTATGTGTGTGAAAAGACTGGGAAAATGTAAATACCATGTAATTACCAAATAACATGATTACTGTATATATAAGTTTAATATACTTGAGCATAAGTTGAACTAGAATGCTCTTCTGGACTTAATGATATACAAAATGTTGATGATGGAGTATTAGTTAATTCATGTTCATTTAACAGCATTATTGGTCTTTGTATAAATGATTGTTTATCTAATGATAATGATGTATTCAATGATTGATTTTGATATTGTTGTTGTTGTTGTTGTTGATGATGATGATGATGATGATGAGGAGGAGGAGGAGGAGGATGTGGATGATTAGAACAATTATTAGAAACGTTATAATGATTTTCTCTATCATCATCACTACTACAATAATTTGAGTAGTATATATTTTGTTCATTTATAGATGATTTAGGATTGTTTAATTGTACATTATTATGATGATTTGTATTAAATAGATATTCTGTTTCATTATGTTTACTAGGTGTTATTATTATTGGATTAGATTGTGGAATTTGTTTCTTTTCATTCATGTTTGGTATAGTTGAATGTGTTGTATGTGTTATTGATGATAAAGATGATGAAGATGAATATTCTATTGGTAATTCATGAGGTTTATCTGTTTTCCTTGGTGAACATTGATAATTCATCATACTATTATTATTATTATTATGATGATGATCATAAATATCATGATTATATTTTGGTGCTGGAGGTGGTGGGGATTTTGGTGGAGGTGGTATTATTTGTTTATCATCATAACAATACAAGTATCCTTCATTCTTTTCACATTTTGATGTAAATGAATTTTGATATTGTGTTGTTCCTGCCACGGTTGTTGTTGTTGTTATTGTCGTCGATGCCATTGTTGTTGTCGTTGTTGTTGTCATGATCATCTTTGAATGATTTTGTTTTAAATAATTACTCATAGGTAAATGATTTGAACTAGTTGTAATTAAATTATTATCAAATTCATTTGTTACTATATCACTTGTTATTTTCTTCCATCTATAAGATTTTTCATCATCATTTGTTAAACTACTAGATGTTGCAGAATTCGATTTATTTCTTAGATCTTGTCTTTGTGATAAATCAACTACATCATGTTGTCCTAATGAAGAAAATTGTGATCTATTACCATTTTCTTCATTATTCATATTCATATTATTATTATTATTATTGGCTTGACAACAAGGATTTGTATGATTTGTATATGATGATTGATTAGTTTGTAACTGTGCTTGTTGTAAATTACACTTTGTATAATCAATATTTAAATTGATTTTATTATTTGTAGTTATAGAAGGTGTTAAACTTTCATCAAATTCATAAGTTAATTCACTAGGTGTATCAATATTATCATTATCATCATCATCATCATAAACTCCATTGTTTATAGTATAAAAAGTGGATGTATGACAATTGTTTGTTGATGTATTATTAGTAGTATTCATTGTATTATGAATAAGAGATACAGTTGCATAAGGTGCTACAGTCAATTGTGGTATATTTTCATTACAATCATATATTGAATGAGAAGATGATATTGTATCATTGATATGTTGTAAACTATTAATTGGTGCTATTGGTGCTATTAAAGGTAAACTAGTTAAACCAATTCGTGTAACTGCACAAAATGTTTGATCTATATTATTATATCCATTAGAAGGAATATTAGTATTTATTTGTGATTGTGGAATTATATGAGATTGATAACTTAAATAGGATGTACGTGAAGTACAATCATTTGAGTAATGAATTAATGTATTTGGTCTTTGAAGTACAAGATGATTAGATTGACTATTTGAATGATTATTATGTACATTTTTATTCGTAATATTTTCTGCTGTAGCATATAGTCCAACATTATTTGTTTCATTTGATAGATGTGGTGAACGAGTTAATGCTAAAAGAGTTGGATTAAATGAATTGAATTGAGTATCATTAGACTCTTTGTTATTATATTCATTATGAGAATTATTAGTCATGTTATGTAAATTTTGATTTTGAGTAGTTGAAGGATATTGACACCATCCCATATATTTCACTTTATCCACAGTTTCTAAACAATTATCATTTTCTATATTAGGTGTTTCTGATCTTAATAATGGTTCCAATTGAACATGATCTTTTTGTAAATGATGTGAACTCTTAGAAAGTTTATTTTCAATCATGGAATTATTTATACTTGTACAAGTATTATTAGATCCATCAGCTATTGAACCACATTGTGAATTATTAGCTATGAGTACAGTACCAACAGATTTTCTGAATCGATAACGTTGATGTCTACAACAAAATGTTATTAGAGTAACAGTAGCACACCATACTAGTAAACTGCATATAATTGTCACAATAAGCCATGGTTGATTTAGAAAATCTGCCCCTTTATCATTACTTTCTTTTCTTTCAATACTCATAAATTGTAAAAGTTTACCAGTTTGTACATCAAAACCCCAACCAACGCCTAATCCTTTTTTGCGTAAATCAGGTTTTAATTGGATAGGTGCACTTCGTACTCCAATTCCTTTACATGTAACTGCAGCCATTTGAACAAAATATATAGTTTTTCCAGTTAATCCTTTAATCAATGTCTTTTGTTCAGTATAAGATAAATTGAAACTTTGATGGTTACTTGCATCTTCGTCATATACATATATTATATAACCCATTAATAATCCGTTCCAATTGATGACAGGCGGTGGATCCCACGAGAGTTCTATGGTTGTGTTAGATATCCACACAGCAAATATTCTATCCGGTGGTGAACTTGGGAAGCTTTCAAAAGTTAAAACTTTAAGAGTATTACTTTCTCGACTTTCAATATTTTCCATCAAGGAGTTAGATGAATATGCTTTAACTTTGATTTCATAACATCGAAAAGCTTCAAGATCACGTAAAAGGCTAGTTTCCTGGATTGTTAGTGAGTTGTGAATGTCACTATATTTCCTATCTTTTTGATATTGAGCTTTGATATCAATGACCGTCCATGGGTCCGATGTCGCGTTATTGAATTCTTTTTCTTGTTTATTCTTAAAATTTTGTTGTAGATTTTGCATTGTTTCAAGACGAAACAGAGAATGTGAATCTATAGAAGTGGTAGATTTTATGCTACAGTACATTCTTTCTCCACTCTTCGTTGTTAGTCCAGTTGCATCTGAGTACATACCCTCCAGTTTGTTTGAAATGCACTGCATCAAGGGGACTTCTCTCTGATAAACAGAATAACCTTTTACCATTGATAGTACAGGGAGAACTTCTGTAATGGACCAGCTAACTCGTACCCTTTTAGGTGAAAGTGGATACAAATGTTGTAGTATTAAGTTAACATTTTTAAAGGACTTCAAAGCTTCTCTGTCCGATAATTGACTCTCTTGATGACTTACAACTTGTTCTTTTAGAGTTAAAACTGGACCCAGAGGAGCGCTAGCCCAACCTACTCTTCCTGCATTCCAACGAGGTCTAATTAAAAAATAATATATAGTTTCTGGTTGTAATCCTCCTAACTGTACAGTATGAGCGTGCCAATTTTTTTCAACCACTATCCATCCATCTGTTGGTCTATCAGGTCTATAGAGCTCAACCCAGTAGGTAATCTGGTGAGATTTCATTGGGTTACCTTGTGTGAATTCTTGTGAGAGAAGTGGGGGAAATGGTAGATCCCAAACTAGTATGACAGTCGATGACGTCACATTAGTAGCTTTTAGGTTTTCTGGCGGAGGAAGAGGACTTTCGTTGCTAATAGATGCCGTTGCCGGTGATCCTTCAGGTACAACATCTAAGTAAGAGGTCCAGTTAGATTGTAAAGTAAATGACACCGAACTACCATCTAAGTAAGGTTTGATAACTGCACTTGCAATGCATGTATAATTTCCAGAATCTTCTGTTCGTAAATTTGATATCTGAAGGCTACCTCGTGGAAGCAAAGTGTAACGCTGATCATAAGGCGGGTTTGAAATGTCTATATTTTCCTTTACACCATCCTTCGTAGACCTATACCATCCAATAGACCAGTCAGATAAGTCTGAGTAAGGCAGTGTTGATGCCAAAGATCCAGGCAGGCCTCTAGTTAATCCCAGTTCGCAATCCAATGTGACTATCTCACCGACAGTTCGTGTTTGGTTTGCAGGTGGAAGTCCTATTATAGGGGACAGCCAATGAAAATTAGATGGAGAAAATTGTCTTGGTTCGTTTTCAGAAAGTGAATATACATCTTTCGATGAATCCAGCTTTTTCTTAGACAGGTTAATGACGTGCAATGTTGCACTCGTATGAATTGTATCGATAGATGAATGCGCTGTGCATTGGTATTTACCAGAATCTTTTTGTCTGACATCTCTAACTTCTAAACTTCCTTCAGGAGTTAAATAATGTTTGCCATTATGAAATTCATTTATTGTTTGGTCACCGGGAAAAATGGGTGTTTTATCCGGAAGCTCCCAATAAATTGCTGGCAATGGATGCCCCGCAGCTACACAATGAAACACTGCAGTTTCTCCTTCGTTAACTGTCAGATCATCTGGTGTGACGGAAAATGCTGGTGGTGTATCAACTATGACCGTGGCATCAGCTTCAATACCTCCAGCAGCAGTGCAAATATATGTACCAGAGTCTGAAATCTGAGCGTTTCTAATAAGGAGATAACTTTCAGTTAATTCAGCCCGATTCGGATCTATCGGTTCTTCCCCAGGGCCTCGTTTCCATTTAACAACATGATTGCCTTGGACTTTACATTTCAGTTTTATATCACGTCCTTTCTTGACCCTAATATCTACAGGTGTTTCCAGAAATCGAGTACGTGATTTAACCATTAGATAGGCTGAAGGAGAAACTTGTTCACCGGCGATATTAGATGCCACACAAGTATATGTTCCACTGTCTTTAATAGTGACAGGATTTATATGCAAACTTCCGTCAATTGATATTTCAATATTAGACTTAAATTCATTTATCACAGAGATATTATTCCTAGGTTTTACTCCATTTTGTGCAGAAATCAAATTATTATTTTTTAACCAATAAACCTTAACTTCAGGTAATCCTATTGGAGGTATACATTCCATTACAACCTTATCACCTTCATGAACAGTTTTATCCACTGGTATTTGTTTAAATTGAGAACTTATATAAATTATACCACCACGTACTGGTGGTTGACTTATTGTCCATCCAGCTGAATTTGAAGCATTACAATAAAATGAATATAATTTACCTCTTTCAGGATTAGAAATTAAAAGTTTACCATAATGTTGATTAACATGTATACCAGATGTTGTTCCACTACTTGGTACTTCATCAATAACTTGTTTACCATTAATTGCATCATACCATACAATATTAGGTTTTGGATAACCGGTAGCTTGACATGTGAATTCAAGTATACTATCTGTTGAAAATACATCTGATGGTGAATGAGTTATGATAGGTTTGATCATATTCTTTTTAGGATCTATTTCATTTCTATACACAGTTAATCCTATTCTAAACTGAATAATTAGAATTAGATATTGATATATTAAAGTCATCATTATCTGAATAAACTGCTATTGTTATTGTTTATTGTTTACAATCAATTATAATGGATGGATTAATGGTTCCTTGAAAATATCCAAATTCCAGTGTCTGAATTACTAAAAGAGAAGAACAAAAGAAGAATATATACATATCTATATTCTATGATGAAAACAAATAAAATATTTTCAACATGAAGGTGTTGTAGTGTCGGTTGCTATGTTAAGCCTATATAACTTATTCTAACTGCTGAACAAACCGATTTATCCATTCTTCTTGAGTCATATATTGACCTTGTTAATTATACACTTATCAACCTTGACTGTTTTTATATGAGCGTATGTGTGTGTATATATATCGCTTATTCTACTCATTAAACGGCTGTAGCTTATTTTTGTGTGACTGTACATATTGATTAATCCTTGATTACATGGAATTGGCTCAAATGCTTTCTCCATCGCGTATCATTTCGTTTCGCTTCGTTCTTTTGATCATCTGCCTGGACCAATGATTGTATAAAATATATGTATTCGAAAATTCATTCTCGTATTATTCACTAACGTTATTTAAGTCAATGATTATACACGAGGTTAGGTGACATGTACATTTCAATAGCAATCAGAAATGACTAAAATCGAGTCAGATATAGGGCTGCTAAAGAGTATTTTGATAAAAGGATAAAGAATATTTCTAGCTCAGGTAGGATAACGTGATGGGGTTTGAAGCGAACAGTACTTTGGGTTCAAGTCTCAGAGTAAACATCAACCCTCAGATTCAGGTACATCCAGTTGATGAGTCCCAATTAAGACGAAACGTGCATCCTAGATTACACTGCTAGCCACTATCCATTCTTTGAAAATGTTGATTTTGATTGGTTTAAAGTTTATCTAGTGAAAGGTGAAAGTTACCTTTTGAATTTTAAACACTTTATTTATTTAAAAACATAATTTCGCATATAATACCTTCTAATTATTTGACTTCCAATTTCTGTCAAAATATTCGTTTCGATTTCTACGTATGTTCATGTAAAGTTAGACTATATTTAATCATATTCAACTAGCAAATTCACTTACTGTCATAATATCACAATTTACAGATTTATTAGGTCGTTATACCCTGGTGCGGTCGAGAGTGTGGAGAGCCACTCCTTCCTCTCGAAATGCTCTCAAGTGGCCACGTGCATGCAACCTTTGACAGGGAAATCCTAATCACTGTCTTCTGATGGCAGGGGTGTTGTTTACAAGAATTAGGAAGACGAAAAGCGAATGTTCGGCACTTTAACCGATTTGGTGGATATGGAGAATCCACAGAGGGGAGTTGGGAAACCCTGATTCAAACCAATGGTCACATGAGCTCCAGGATCCTAAGGAAACAAGCGATTTATGGACCAATTATTGGTCATGGTCTACTATGGGACTGAATTTCTTTACGTTGCTTCACTACCTTGGGTATTGGACATTTAGGTCAAAGGCTCGGGGTATGGCCCCTAATAAAACCACCTGCTTCGGTTTGGGCACCAGAGCAGTCTCCTAGCCCTCACATAAACTGAATAATTTATGTGGTACATATCTATTTGGTGCCTCCTTGTACCAATATTTATATGTAATAATCGTCAGATGAACTATTCAATGTTTCTTCATGGTTTTGATATGATAAACAGACTTAATGATTTGATATCTATTGTAAAAATAACTGTAAAATTTAGCAAAAAAAACACTTGTTCAACTCAGTTTGTAAATCAAACATATTTGGTTGTAGTTACCAAAATCCACTAAAATATTATGTGAAATATCATTTTTAAGAAAAGCTAAAAGTTACAATGAGAGTGCAATTAACAACAAATCGTTGTCTCTTTTAAGACGATAGTCACTAACCTTTACGCAAACTCTAGTAGTCACTAAATACCTACTCAGTAACTAAACAGTTAAATTTCCTGAATAAAATCTGACCCAATAACAAGTGTTAAACACTATCAAAGTCAAAATCTTCAATACGAATGTTGAGACATTCAGTTCTACTGTACGGAACTGAAAATTGGAAAACTACTACAACCATCATCAAAAAGGTACAAGTATTTATAAATAGTTATTTACACAAGATACTCAATATCTATTGGCCGGATATCATCAGCAACAGTCTTCTGTGGGAGAGAACAAACCAGCTTCCAGCTGAAGAGGAATTTAAGACAAGAGGTGGAATTGGATAGGACATATATTACGGAAATCATCAAAGTACATCACGAGACAAGCCTTAACTTGGAATCCTGAAGGGAAACAAAAAAAGGAAGGTCAAAGAACACTATGTGTCGAGAATTGAAAGTAATCATGAAAAGGATGAACGTCAACTAGAAAGAACTGCAAAAGATTGCCCAAGACAAGGTTGGATGATAAGTGCTGGTGGGTGGTCTATACTTCTCCATAAGGGATAACAGATGTAAGTAACTAACCAACTAACTCATACTTTATTTTTTCCAAAACTGCCATATAAATTTTCGAAAATTCCATTTCCAACATTTTCAACCATTCAATTCTAATCAAATAACATTTATTTAACACCTGGTCTGAGCCATGTTGATAGATGCAAACTACTTGGTTGGCGTCCGCTTGACTATCGTAACCAATGGTTGGTGACTCTAGGTGACATGGCTCAGAATCGATCACAATGGTGTAGGTGCATACTCTCTCTGTCTTTCCTTAAACTATGAGATTATAATCGCTTCATATCTTTCTTTCTACGAACTAATTCTTTCTTTCTGTACTATGTCCTTATATGCAATCTTTCTTTTATATATTATCACCTCTGACTTAACTACTACTCTGAATCCTATGTTCATCTTGTTGTGTTAATGCGGTATGGCAACCTGGACCGATACATATATGTGCCTGGTCCTTCATTACAGCTGACTGACTAACTGACTGATAAATAACATTTATAACTACTTTATATTATTTTCTTCTTTTTACATAATTTCAATGATAATGATCAGATAACATTAATCGTTGTTAAATATTTCTATTCAACTCATTCTATTGAAATTTCAACAAACTTTCATATTACCTAATATACAAGTAAAAAGAAAAAAGAAGAAGGAAAAGAAAAGCGAAAGTAAAAAGTAAAGAAAAAAGAGAAAAGAAGAGAAAAAAGTACCACTTTCCACGTCACTTTCTTTTCTTATTTTATATATCATAGTAACTAATTTATCATTTAAGTTGAGACAAACCAACAACAAAAAAGATCTACAATTGAACTAAAAATGATGAACAGTTGTTCATTTAAATGATTAAGATTATTTTATGAATATTCCTTAACAGATCATTTAATACAATTAAAGAAAGGGTTTTGTGGAGATTTTTTTAGAAATTCCACAAGTTGAAATCATGAGCCAATTGAAGCTAGACCACCATGGAAAACCTGGAAGCACTGGACGGCCGTTTCGTCCTAGTATGGTACCATTGGATGCCGGCTCAGTGGTCTAATGGTTAAGTGCTCACGCGCGAAGCCAGTAGGTCCTGGGTTCGAATCCCGTGGGGGGGGGCGGGGTCGTGGATGCGCACTGCTGAGGAGTCCCATACTAGGACGAAACGGCCGTCCAGTGCTTCCAGGTTTTCCATGGTGGTCTAGCTTCAATTGGCTCATGATTTCAACTTGTGAAATTAAAGAAAGATTTAAAAGAATTCAAAGACAAAAGAGAGAGAGAAAGAGACGAGAAGTTCACATTGATTTGCATCAATAGAAATAAATATTACAATATAAACGTTTATATTTCAATAGTTGAGATCATGAGTCAATTAAAGTTAGATAACTTTGGAAAACTTGGAAGCACTGAATTTTTGTTTCTTTCTAGTATGGGATTCCTCTGAATTGTGCGGTTCAACCGGGTCTGTTGTGAGATAGTAACTCACTGAAGATAATAGTGGATGTGTCGTTCAATTTCATGAATTGTTTAAAGTTAGATAGTGACATTGATGGATGCCGGTTGGCTCAGTGGTGTAGAGGTTAAGTGTTCACGCGCGAGACTGATAGGTCTAGGGTTCAAATCTCGTGAGGCGAGACTGTGGATACTCATTGCTGAGTAGTCCCACAGTAGGACGAAACGGCCATCGAGTGCTTCCAGGTTTTCCATGATTGTCTAGCTTCAATTAACCGATGAATGCAACTATAAAATTACTAAAATCTCCATAAAATTCCCTTTCGATATAAATATTATTAGTCAAATCCTCAGTCAATATGGCCCATCAATAATTTTTCATGATTCTTACTCGACTAAACAACACACGTTATAATTTCTGTGCATTATTTTTGAGAACTAGTATAATAAGTTATGTATATTCTTATTTAAAGCGATATTTCTTGAAGGATAAGCTTATATTATAGAATCCATTTGTTTTACGGTTGATGGCTTATGTAATAAAAATTACTCTGAATGAAACCATGTACTATTGACTAAATGATTATTTAAAGCCATTACTCCGTTTGATAACTTTGGATAATATAATAAGAAGGCAAAGGTTATCTTGTTGACCATTTGTTTGTTTTTTCGTATCTTATATCTTAGCAAGTATTGCTCCCCCCCCACTTACTATCATAATATCATAGTTTACAGATTTATCAGGTCGTAATACCCTGGTACAGTCGAGAGTGGTGAGGGTCAGCTCTCTGTCTCTCCAAATACTCTCACATGGCCACATGTATACAACCACTGACAGGGAAATCCTACTCACTGCCTCCTGGCAACACGGGTGTTGTTTACGAAATTGAGAGGACAAAAGATAAATATCCGGTGCTTCAACCAGGTTGGTGGACACGGAGAGTTCACCCACAAGAGTCATTAGCTACTTTAATGGTGATTACTATTCTTATAATCAACCATATATTTATGTTAATAAGTTATCTATGTACTTCTAAAACTTGTTTTCATAATAAAATGTGATATTTATGAAACAGTTGTTAATACAAAACTAGTCGATATTATTATGTTACTGACTGTAAACAGTAAGCGAATAAGAGATACTAATCATATTTTATATAAAAGGAATATACATTTTGATTGATGTTCTTATCAATACTTTTTAGTTTCTTCTTTTTTATTTTGAACCTGAACTGTTTTGTCTAGTTTTTT